TATGGGCTTTTAATCTTATTGCAAGTTATTATACATCCTTAAATATGTCTAGAATTTAGATTTTTATTCATAGAACTTGTAGAGCCTGATCGCAGTTAACTGTTGGTTTTATGGGGAAATAGATTCTTCCTCGCATTTGAAATGCACAGATTCTGCAGAACACAGGTAGGAGATGGAAACAGCCACTCCCACTAGAACTTGGGTTCCCTTCGAAATTCCCATTAGAAATTAAGAATATTGTAGAGAATGAAATAACAATACATGCAAAAACACCCATATGTGTATCAGATAAGTATCGCATTCATTGCGTAGCCAGATTAAAATTAATCAATATTAATGATTAAGGATAAACTAAACAATTCGGATGCAGCCCAGCCTAGTAAGGGTAAATAACCTTCTCCATGTGCCTTTTCCAGAATCCACACCGTACTCTCACATGACCACTTGTCCTACTTGGGGAGGCCACCTCCACCACCAGCTATGCTATGGGCTTTTAATCTTATTACTAGTTATTATATATCCTTAAATATGCCTAGAATTTAGATTTGTATTCATACAACTTGTAGAGCATGATCGCAGTTAACTGTTGGTTTTATGGGAAATTAGATTCTTCCTCACATTTGAAATGCACAGCTTCTGCAAGGAAACAGCCGCTCCCACTAGAACTTGAGTTCCCTACGAAATTCCCATTAGAAATTAAGAATATTAACAGGCATTCCATAAAAGAAGAAACCTAAAGAGTTTTTCCCCTGTTAAGTTTGGCATTATCAAACTAATTTAGCAGACCCGCCCGAGAAAAAGAGAGGTAAACATATATTAAGGAAAAGCTAGCAGTAAATTGTGGGTGATTTGGGTTTTACCTTTGTCCTCTTGATCCTCATCCTCGTCGCTGTCGCTAAGCAGCCATTGGCCGTCGCCATGGGTAGGATCGGATAAATCCTCATCGTCACTCAGAGTGAGAGGCGAAGGCGATCGCTTCCTGCCGCGTTCAGCGACAGGTGTCGCGGTCAATCCGCCTCCCTCAGTCGCCATTGGTTTAATCTCGCTCTCCATGGGCCCTAGATGAAGAGGAGGGGCCGCCGAGTTACTCATCTGTGGCAAAATCTCTTCTCAGTCCGTATGCTCCGGCGGGTTAGGCGGCGGCAGGGCTTCGAGCGTCCGGCCGCTCGCCCAAACCATAGGTGCGGCGGCGGGGAGGGGGAGAGAGGAATGCGCCCGTCGGGCTGGACGCTGCAGACGAGGGACCGACCGATCGGTGGGAGCAGATGAGGAATCTTTGGTGACAGTCACAAACTTTGCATTAAAAAAGCGTGTGCTGTAAAAAGTTTATGACTGTCATAGTTTTTTTTTTATGATAATGCCCCTAGAGGCTCGCATTTTGCTTGCAAGCTAGTACAAGTTGAGGTAGGCATGGTTGTTGACCACGGAAGACGACATTGTTGCGGTGCTTCCACAGCTACCAGCAACACATTAGGATGAAGGTGGATGAGAAGCGCCGAGGCATGTGAGGCGGGATGGTAGCGTTCCACAGCAGAGGTACATCAGGGATGCAAGCTGGATTCCAGCCAATGTGGAGCCAAAAGGTGTGTGCAAACAGACACTTGCTAAGTGTGCGCAAAAAAACTATGACAGTCATAAACTTTTTACAGCACACGCTTTTTTAATGCAAAGTTTGTGACTGTCATAGTTTTTTTAGGATCACTGTAGCATCTCTGCGGTACACAAGCGCGCACATGGCACAAGTGTCATTCTCCACTACATTCTTCTTCTTCAAGTTTTTTTTATTGCCTCTCATCTGGTACACAAGCGCCATCCGAAGAATTTCACAATCCAGTGTCGACACAAGCGCCACTTGATACACAATCCAGTGGCTCCGGCGAAGTCATCAAGTATCCCCTTCAGTTCCTTATCCTTCAGCTCGGCGCGCACAAGTAGGAGCGTGTCATCGGCATACAATCAACAAGCGGGGTGGCGTACAGAACCATCTGTTTGTATGCATCTCTGCAGATTGTCAGCGGTCAGCCACTAGTAGGAAAAAGTATGGCGAAAGGGGGTCTCCCTGGCGGAGACCTTTCTTGCATTTGATCAAGGGGTCGGTGAGCGTGATGTTTTTAGGAGCAGCTTCATCCAACGACACCACTGGTTCTGTTGCATATATATGAAGTTTTCAAAAATCGACCTCCCTTTCAGGAATCCTGTCTGGTCGATGTCAATCAGTGACTGGATTTGGTGTGTTGCAACCTTACAGTCAGAATTTTGGAGATGATTTTGACCGAGCAGTTTTGTAGGGAGACTGGACTAAAATCGTTTTGGGGCGGTGACCGGTGACACCTCTGACCTCTGACCTTACTTGGGGATCAGACGATGTGTGCTCGGTTGATTCTAGTTGGTACGAAAGTGCTTTCTCAAACATGAGGTCTTATACTCGAGGCCCTAAGTAGCACTACTTTTTAAGATTTTTATATAAAACAGAACAATGGGGGGAGTGATGAAACAAAGGAAGACGGACGTAGGACGGATGTTTATATGTAAAAAAAGTTTTTTCAAAGAGCACATTTGTTAGCTTAGTGTATTGGTATGAAAGTGTTTTCTTAAAAAAAACACGAGGTTTTGTGATTGAGTGCCTCACGTGGCGCTATTTTTTGAGATTTTTTTCGACAGAGACAGAGACATCGGAAAGACGGAGGGTGAAACTTTAGTCTTCGTACTCCCTCTATCTCTAAATAACTATCACTTTTTTAATGCCATAGGTTTGACTAGATTTATAAAAAATACGTCTAACATTTGTATCTCCAAATAAATTTATTATAAAAATAAATTTAACGATCTATCTAATGATATTAATTTTATACCATAAATATTATTATTATTTTTATATATTTAGTTAAATTATTTCTCGAGAAGCGAAAACAACGATCATCTAGGGACGGAAGGAGTAGCCAGCGAAAGTCTCTTTGGAGACATCCGATAAAAAAAAGTAGCCACCAAAAAATAAGTTTTTTTTAATAAAGTCCATCACCGGTCCCTAAACTTGTACCGCTGTGTCATCCCGGTCCATAAACTCGCAAATCGACCGTTTAGGTCATCAAACTTGTTCATCTGTGTCATCTCGGTCCCAAAATTTGTTCGGCTGTGTCATCCCGGTCCTTAAACATGCAAATCACCCGTTTACATCCTCAAACTTGTTCAGTTATGTCATCCCGGTCTCTAAACTTGGTTTTAAGTCTCATCTAGGTCAAAAATAGGGTGATCTAAAAATTTTATATAAAAAAATAATTCATAACTTTTTCATATGAACTCGAATGAAGACAAACGTTATATCAAAATTGTAGCCCTCGACGCGATCTACGACTTTATAGTTGAATTTTTTTTTTAATTAAAACTGTTTAGGGTCCCAAAATATTATTGTATATTTATAGATTTTGAAATTTAAAATTTAAAATTATCAAACAATCTTGGATATTGATATGGTCTATATGAAAGTTATAGTTTTCAATACGATCTATAATTTTGTAGTTGAAAAGTTTTTTTTAGTTAAAACCGTTTAGGGTCCCAAAATATTATTGTAAGTTTATAGATTTTGAAATTTAAAATTTAAAATTATCAAATAATCTTGGATATTGAAATGATCTATATGAAAGTTATAGTTCTCAATATGATCTACAGCTTTGTATTGTAAAAGTTTTTTTGTTTGAAGTCATTTAGTGTCCCAAAATTTAATTTTAAATTTTAAATTTTAAAATATATAAACTTACAACAATATTTGGGGGCCCTAAACACATTTAATTCAATAAAAAAATCAACTGCAAAGTTGTAGATTGCTTCGAGGGCTACAATTTTGATATAAAGTTTGTCTTCATTCGAGTTCATATGAAAAAAGTATGAATTATTTTTTATATAAAGTATTTAGATCACCCTGTTTTGATCCAGATGAGACTCAAAACCAAGTTTAGAGACTAGAATGACACAACTGAACAAGTTTGATGACCTAAACATGTGATTTATAAGTTTAGGGACCGAAATGACACAGACGAACAAGTTTGACGATCTAAACGATCGATTTATGAGTTTAGGGATCAGGATGACGTAGCGATACAAGTTTACGGACCGATGATGATGGGCTTTACTCTTTTTTTTAAAAAAAAGTAGCCACCAAAAATTTCTCAGCACGGCCAACGTTTGGCTTGGTCACTGGCGTCATAAACCAGAGGGTTGCGCCGTCCTCATCTGCTCCCACCGATCGGTCGGTCGGATGTTTATATGCAAAAAAAGTTTTTTCAAAGAGCACATTTGTTAGCTTGGTGTATTGGGATGAAAGTGTTTTCTTAAAAAAAAACATGAGGTTTTGTGATTGAGTGCCTCAAGTGGCGCTATTTTTTGAGATTTTTTTTCCACAGAGACAGGGATGACATCGGATAGACAGAGGGTGAAACTTTAGTCTTCAAAAAGTACTTCCTCTGTTCCTAATTAATTATCATTTTTTTTATTTTCATACCATAAGTTTGATTAAATTTATAAAAAATATATGTAACATTTGTATTTCCAAATAAATTTATCATAAAAATAAACTCAACCATCTATCTAATAATATTAATTTTATACTATAAATATTATTATTATTTTTATATTTAATTAAATTATTTCTCGAGAAGCGAAAACAACGATCATCTAAGGCACGGAAGGAGTAGCCAGCGAAAGTCTCTTCGGAGACATCCGATAAAAAAAAAAGTAGCCACCAAAAAATAAGTTTTTTTTTAATAAAAAAAGTAGTCACCAAAGATTCCTCATCTGCTCCCACCGATCGGTCGGTCCCTCGTCTCCAGCGTCCAGCCCGACGGGCGCATTCCTCTCTCCCCCTCCCCGCCGACGCACCTAGGGTTTGGGCGAGCGGCCGGACGCTCGAAGCCCTGCCGCCACCTAACCCGCCGGAGCATACGGACTAAGAAGAGATTTTGCCACAGACGAGTGACTCGGCGGCCCCTCCTCTTCATCTAGGGCCCATGGAGAGCGAGATTAAACCAATGGCGACTGAGGGAGGCGGATTGACCGCGACACCTGTTGCTGAACGCGGCAGGAAGCGATCGCCTTCGCCTCTCACTCTGAGCGACGATGAGGATTTATCCGATCCTACCCATGGCTACGGCGAATGGCTGCTTAGCGACAGCGACGAGGATGAGGATCAAGAGGACAAAGGTAAAACCCAAATCACCCACAATTTACTGCTAGCTTTTCCTTAATATATGTTTTCCTCTCTTTTTCTCGGGCGGGTCTGCTAAATTAGTTTGATAATGCCAAACTTAACAGGGGAAAAAAACTCTTTAGGTTTCTTCTTTTATGGAATGTCTGTTAATATTCTTAATTTCTAATGGGAATTTCGAAGGGAACTCAATTTCTAGCTAGTGGGAGCGGCTGTTTCCATGCAGAAGCTGTGCATTTCAAATGTGAGGAAGAATCTAATTTCCCATAAAACCAACAGTTAACTGCGATCATGCTCTACAAGTTGTATGAATACAAATCTAAATTCTAGGCATATTTAAGGATATATAATAACTAGTAATAAGATTAAAAGCCCATAGCATAGCTGGTGGTGGAGGTGGCCTCCCCAAGTAGGACAAGTAGTCATGTGAGAGTACGGTGTGGATTCTGGAAAAGGCACATGGAGAAGGTTATTTACCCTTACTAGGCTGGGCTGCATCCGAATTGTTTAGTTTATCCTTAATCATTAATATTGATTAATTTTAATCTGGCTACGCAATGAATACGATACTTAACTGATACACATATGGGTGTTTTTGCATGTATTGTTATTTCATTCTCTACAATACCCATCATGTCAACAGAGCATATGAAGCTTTCATTAACCTCCATAGACCATTTTTTTCCCTCTATTGCTGATTTCAGTTCTTTTTCAATGCAGGGATATACCGACCTTTTATGATTGATGATATCCCACGGCCCAGTTGTGACCATAAGCAGCAGACTGATGTTTTGCATAAAAATCCAGAAACTAAGGTTCGAGGGCCTTTACCAATAAGGCTCTTTCCCGCATTCAAATCTGGCAAACATATCTTTGGTTCAGAGTATAATCTTGCTGATAAATCTCAAAGTATGTTGCCCTTCTCATGCCCCTCTTCCATTGTGGTATTGTTTATTGTACATAATGTAGTAATGAACTAATCCTAAATATGCTTCTGTTATTCATTTTGCAGTCAGTCTCGATAGTGTTGGGGATTGTCCAAATGAATGCTGGTGTTATCCAATGGGTGTGCTTCAATTTGTTGATATCAAGATTGCTGGGTATCGACATACACATCCTGGACAGGTCAAGATATATGGTTTCATTGCAGCACGGGAACCAGAAAACCCCTTGCGCAACTATGTCTACTGTCGTGAGATAGAAAATTGTGAAAGTGTACCTGTGAAGCAAAAAACGGTAAATATGTTTGTCCACGCTCTGTAGGCTTGCAGTTGTCTTTACACCATTTTGTCAATTTTAAAGACAGTAGCATCATGCTAAAGCGTGATTTTGCCATCTCTAGATTAAGGCTTTATTTTTGTAACTATTTGATGCTGATCTGAATCCCTGATGTAACAACTTTGATTTTCATATTCTAACTAACAATATATGTGAAGGTAAATGTGGTAATTCATATTGCAAACTGCATTTGTCTTGCCTGCTCTCATTCTGAAGACTGCCATTCATTTGAGACGTCCTGATTTAGGCATAAACTTTGTAAATATATTATTGTCGCGCCAATGTTAAGTTGGTAAAGAGACTAAGAAACTGCATGGTGATTTGTTTTCCAAACTTGCCACATCTACATGCTTTATTCTCCTTTAGGAATCAGTGGGTGTATCTATTAGAACTGGCAGTTGCAAATGTAGGCAACGTCTATACATTTGTTATACTTATCTGTCATCTGAATTCAATGTTGTAAGATTTCAAGTTTTTTTTTTAGATCAAAGGCTTCGGCCCACCTTTGTTAGACAACTTAGCGACATACTATAAAAGATTTCATGTAATATTTTATCGAGAAAAAAGATTTCATGTAATATTTTCAAAACTAAATTGTTCCTTTGTTCGCAGTATATGCATGCAATCAATGGACATATGGACAGGAATGTTCCTCGGCTATTAACTGATAAAAAGTTCAAATTTGTGACATGATTTGTTTGCAGGGTGTTGCAAGGTTGTCACCAACCGGACCTGCTCGAGTCATTTCAATGATCACTCGCTCATTCATCGAGTTTGAGATCCATGCCCGAAACAAAGATGAGACCAATGTTGATGACGACTTGATCATTGAAGGATGCACCGAGATCGATAACTTTTTCGAGTCGAAATCGTTCATTGATTACCGGCGCTTTTATGGTGAAAGGTGTGCTCTGGACATTAAGTATATAGTGATGATCAACGCGGTGGAGGCACTGGTTGAAGTCACAGCCCTCCGCCTCGACACTATTCCCGGTGGTGTCAACATGAAACTATATGCCAAGACTAGTGGCTTCAATGACGTAATCCCACTATTCCAAGGCATCGCTCCAGAGCCAGGAGGTGGCATGATGAGATTCGCTGTAGGGGTGGAGAGGCACAACCGCCTTGATCTGTGCGTCGGGGGTCTCGGAGCGATGATGCTACCCTATGCGGACCCTGTGCTGGCAATGCGGTTTCTTCTCTAGCTACCATGGGACGAATGAAGAAGTTGCTGACCTGGGGTGTTTGCAGCATTTTCAGCCAAGATCACCTGGAGATTGTACAACAAAAAACCTTGTTGATGAAGAAAAATAATTCACTAATGTCAAGCTATGTTGCGTGTTAATTAGTAAACGAACGAGGTCGTTGGTTGTGTAACCTAATTACTTGCCGTTCACTGATAGTCACGCTATTAACACAAAGTACTCAAACTTTGCATGCAGATATGCAGAATACGATGTACATATGATTGCGTTTGATCAAAACGATCGAAATTATTATCTTACATGAACAGCAGGGGAAAAAACAAACATCTATACACTATTAGCACGACTTGACTATTTATTAGCAGCTCAATGGACACTTGAGCTCGCATGGCATGACAAAGATTATCCAGCAAGCACACTACAATTCCTCAAACCAACACTACAATTAGCAACAACTAACTAACAGATCATGGACAGACATCTGTATTATACGAAATGGAGGACAACTACATAGCAAACGAACTCATGGACAGAGCAAAGGATGTACTGGACCATAAAGCAAGGATCTGGCACTTACCAACTGGCCGCCGTTGTCATCTTCTTGCTCCAACTGGTTGTTCAAGCCGAGATCCTGTGGAGAAAAGGGGTTCCCGGCAGAAGTGGAACCACGGCCAGGGCGGTTAGCCATCAATCTAGCACGGCCTCCGCCACCCATCCCCGGAGGAGTGAAGTGGGGAGCGGATCCCTGTGGCAGACGGCCGGTTCCCGCGGCAATGTTGAGAGACTTGGTCGGCGACCTCCTCCGCGTGCAGCCTGGCAGCTTCCACGGCCGGCTCTGCCTCCCCCACCGCTCGGACGAGGAGGCTGGAACACTCCATGGCCGGATCTCCTGCCACCGACAACGGGGGCAAGAGGAGGTAGCCGTGGCTCACTGTGACCTCCCTACGACTGCAGGATTCCCGAGTAGGAGTTGAGGAAGGGGAAGCCATTGCCTTGGGAGTTCATATCTAGGTTTTCCAAGCCAACCCTGGGAGTCGAGAGGCTGGGGGTGCTGGAGGATACGACGGCAACTAGGAAAACATGCCGAAATCCTCGTCGTCGGGTCCGGCGGCGGAAGAATGGAAGGGGGTAGCCGGAGAAGAAGAAGACGCCCGGGAAAAGTAGTCCTGGTACCCGCTCCTGTGCCCATCCATGGTGGATCCGGCTTGGGGAGGAGTGTGGGCGGCAGATACAGCGTGGGGAGGAGCGTGGGGGATGGCGTCGACGAAATCTGGTCGGCAGTCCTCCAAGGGGTATCCCACGAATGTAGATTGATCGGCAGAGGTGCGTGTAATCAAGAACAAGAAGGCAACAGAGACACAAGAGTTAGACAGGTTCGGACCGTCAGCACAACATAATACCCTACTCCTGTGGTCTGTTGGTTTGTATTGGCTATCATATGACATTGCGTGTGTTTTGAGGGGGTCCCTTACCAGCCTTCTATAGCCCAGGGGGTAGGATTCCAAGTCAGTTAGATCTAGAAGATAACTAGTAAGTAATAACAGATTACAGAAATCATGGGATCGAACATATCCTAATAGATCTCATAGCATCTTCAGGATATCACCCTTGATGTCTTGCGGTACACGCCAAGCAGTACCGTACACCGTAAGTCTTCGTCTTGTGGGCTAGACCGCCCCTTGGAGCGCAACCCATGTAGTCTGCCATGGGTTTCTGGGGTCGTACCCCCATAGCTAGTCCCCGAGCGGCTTGTATCCGCTGTGCAACGCCGTCTTGAGCTTGTCCGAGCAGGTGTAAACAAAGCCGAGCAGTCAGACTCATAGTCTAACCACTCTAATGAGTCGCTGAGCAGTTGTGGACCGTGACCGACCATCTTAACTGTCCGGCCGAGCACGGGCTTACCCAAGTAAGGCTTGCTAGAAGGATGTAAGGAGCTCAAGTTCAAAATCAAAAATTTCCTCGCAGTGGACCAAGTGTGCCCACTTAGAGTCCGACCACAAGAAAGGGAGATAATCTTCTTCAACTTCAGGAGGCACGGAGTCTTCCAGATTAAAGAAAACACACTCACCGCAAGGTGAAGTGTGCCCACTTAGTTCCCGAGCCTAACAGTAGGTGACGTGGTCACGTGGTGCCAGGGTCCAGAAAGTAGAAGAAAGGCAAAAGACCAGCCGAGCAGGCAACTAGTCCACGGGCTGAACCCTGAAATGAAAAGCGCACATTCACCGCAAGGTGAAGTGTGCCCACTTAGTCGCCAAGCCTAAAGTAGGTGACGTGGTCACTTGGTGTCAGGGTCAGAAACAGCAGTAACCAAAAAGAAAAAGTCCCCAGTACGGTGAAAACCGAATCATAATGATGACGTAGTCCCCGAGCCATAAGCCAAAATCTCGGATAAATCAAGAAGTGTCGATTACTCAAATCGTGGAGAAAAACCAGAGTAATGACTGTATAGTAGAAATTACTAAGCCTTGATGGTATTGTGGAGAGGTCGGTGAATATTCGGTGTGTAGTACCAAGTTGCGTCGAAAAATGGGCGATATGGGCCGTAGTTGTGTGGAAGCCCAGATAATGGCCCAGCACGCCGCTTCGGGGAATTCGGAATGGTGCAAATCAGCATGGTGCAGTTTTCTAAAAACCCTTAAATGTGAAAAGTCAAGAGGGTATCTTTATAACTACATCGCCGCACTCCGTGCTCCCACCTTTGCCACTCCGCCACTTCGTCTGACTCCTTGCCCTCGCGCTCCCCCATTTGCATTCACACGCACTCCAGATCTGAGGGGTGGTGCCGAAGAGGGGAGGTGGTAACACGAAGAAGGCGACCGCCGGGGCGAGCCGTGACAAGGAATGGGTACCGTCACTCATGGGGGAGATGGAGCTCAATGAGATGGTGGAGGCGGGCGTTCTTCCTAACCGTGTCACCGCTGGATGGTGTCCGGCCAATGGTGAGCCCTATCCGATGCCACACATCGACGAAGTTGTTGTATTCGAGGATTACTTCTGGCGTGGATTAGGGCTTCCGGTACATCCTTTCTTGTGGGATCTGTTGGAGTATTGGGGAGTGAGCTTGTGTAATCTTTATTTGAACACTATCTTGCACATTTCTGTGTTTATTCACTTCTGCGACGTTTATCTTGGCATTCTTCCCCGTTTCAATATCTTCCGACACCTTTTCTAGCTGAAGAAGAAACGAGGGGGCGGTTCCAAAATTATCGGCGGTGTGTATCTATAGCTCCACGACGGGATGGTGGGTGAATACATTCCCATGCCACTGAATACCTCACTGAAGGGGTGGAATGCCAGGTGGTTCTATATGAAGCAGAGTCATCCTGCCATCCATTGCGACGTTGACCTGATTCTAGAAAATCAAAGGAGCTGGTTGGATAAACCGCCCAGTGCTGATATGGGATAGTTGAAGGAGCTCCTCGAGCTAATAAGGGGCATGGAGTGGTGGTGGCGGTGAACTTCATACTACGCCGCATCCAGCCCTGCAAGGAGAGGGCTCATCCGGGCTTTGACTTCAAAGGAGATACTGACGGCACCCGGGAGAGGACGAAGAACCTGGCGAAGGAGGCTGTGCTACACCGAGCCGCTAAACTATTCGCTCCCAATGTGTCATCCACCGTGCCAGGGCAGTCGAAACCCTTCAACTGCACGAACCCACCTCCTCAGGTAAAAATCTCGAATGTTGTTCCTTGTGCTTTTTATCCCGTGCCGATGCTGAGTAGTGGACTGATTCGCTTGTGGAAAGATCCATTGGCAAGAACGGGCGGCATACTTCTCGGGCGTGCCGAGGAGCGATTCTCCAAAGGTAGTGGACGCCAAGCCAACCACTCAGTTGGAGGAAGGCACCGTCAGCGCCTCGTCCGAATCTAGAGGCAAAGGTGTTGGTCAGAAGGAGAGTCCCCCCCGATGTTGGAGAAAGTTTTGGGGAAGAGGGCAGCAAAAGATGAGCCGGCCCGAAAGAAGAGAAGAAGGATGGATGTAGCTCCCCGCAAACAGGGCGGCATCTCACTTGGTGGCGATCGGACCGCTCGGACGTAGAGTGCGGCGGTGTCCAAGTGGTTGGACGACGATGAGGCTCCAGTAGCTCCCCTTCGAGCACTAAAGCGTCATCGAAGGAAGGGGAAGGAGTCCCCGAGCAGCAGGCGGAGAAGACGCCGACGGCGGGGGCCGCAAGACCTCCAGTCTAGGACATGTGGGTTGACCCTAGAGCAATGCCTAGGTGCTCGAGGAGGCAACACCAGTTTAGAACCGTTTATCAGGAAGCTAATGTGTAAGTATCTTTGCTTTGGAATCGATTGTTGTCCGATCTTTATAGTGGTGGTGATTAATGGACTAATCTGATGCAGAACTGGGCGCGCGGAGGATCTGAATCCTTTAGGCCAGACTGACGAGCAGCCAAGGGCTGGTCCTGGCATAGAGATAGAGTCCCTGGGCGCTCATCAGTTTGTGAGGGATTCGACCACCGCTGCTAATGGAGTTGGAGGTGGAGAGTGGTTGGCAACAACGGCGAGCGATTCATCGGAGACACCAGGAGCAACGGTGAGAGCCGCTGAGTCTTTGGAGGTGGGAGCGGGAGCTACCGATGCCATGCTAGAATCTGGGGTGCAGAGGCCGGTAGCGTCGAAGGAGCAAGCAGCGCGCCCTGAGATCCTGCAGGGTGTGGTCAGTCGCTCTGTGCGGCCACCGAGCCCCCAAGGAGCGTCACCGGCTGTGGAGGAAGAAGATGAGGTCAAGGAGATTGAGCGTGAAGGACCATGACCTCAAGCCGTACGCATCCTCCACAAGCGAGGGGAGGAGATTGTGGTCATAGAAGAGGAGGACACCACCAGGGAGGTGAAGAGGCTATGGTCCACGCTTTCCATAGCTATGAAGCAAATTGAGGTAAGTATTGCGTCAGCAGTGTCTGTCTTTGGCGTTGGAGACTGTGATCTTTTATAATCTTGTGGCTTTGCAGGGCATAGCGCAGACTACCGAACAACGGCAATAGTTGATCAAAAGGA